CAATAGTAGGTAAGCACAGTAATAAAATTTTTACAGTAAATTTTTATAGAAATCACGATCATTACAACACAAATCTATATCTAAATCACTTGTATCACCATAATAGTCTGTAAGAATTTTTTACTATAGAAATCACGTTCATTCCAATACAAAACTAACATATCCATATCCAAATCACTTGTATCACCACCATAGCATGTACAGTAAATTACTATAGAAAATCGCACTCATTCCAATACAAAACTAACATATCCATATCTGTATTACCACGATAGTCGGTAAGTACAGTAATGGAATTTTTTTTTTTATAGTACTGTAAATACCATAGAAAATACGATCATTCCAATAAAAAAACAACATAACTCTATCTAAATCACTATAGCGAGTAAGTACAATAACAGAATTTGTTGCATAAAATCAAAATATCGATAATTCTAATGCAATAATTAATTATACGTTAACTCATGATAGACGGTATCTATTAGTTCAGTAGTTATTTTTTATAGTCAATGCCTTTAATTATTATTATATTTATTATTTTCTGATATTTAAGATTTAAAAAAGAATTTCGTGATTGGACAAGTGACAATCACGATATTGATCAATTAATTCAACAAACACAACTCAATGCGAAATATTTTAAAGACATTGTTGAGTGGATACCCTTTAGCAAATTTGCAAATATAAAGTATCTTGCTAAAGGAGGCTTTGGTACTGTTTTTAAGGCAATATGGATTGACGGATATATCAAAGGACTTGATCAAGTGAAAAATGAATGGAAAAGAAGGTCACAAATAGATGTTTGTTTAAAAAGTCTTGATAATTCTAAAGATATAAAATACGAATTTTTAAAAGAAGTAAGCATTAAAATTTATTATTAAAGCATAATAATATTATTTATCCTAATTAATATTTTAGGTTGAAAATCAACATAAATACGGAGGCGTTTCGGCAATCGCGATTTATGGAATAACTAAGAACTCAAAAGATGGTAATTACATGATGGTTATGGAGTATGCAAAGGAGGGAAGTCTCCGAAAATTATTAGATAGTAAATATAATGAATTAGATTGGGCTTCTAAAGTAGCTAGCTTATTTTACATAGCTCATGGGCTTTATACAATTCACAAAGCCAAATTAGTGCATAAAGATTTTCATTCCGGAAATATAGTTAATCGAAATATGATTAGTTCTTACGTTACTGATTTTGGCTTATGTAAACCAGTGTCACAAGACTCAAATTCTAAAGAACTTTATGGAGTGCTTCCCTATATTGCTCCAGAAGTATTATATACAAATGGAAAAGAATACACTCAAAAATCAGATATTTATTCTTTCGGAATAATTATGTCAGAAGTTTTTACTGGATATCCTCCATATCATAATATTCCGCATGATGATAGTCTAGCATTATCTATTTGCCTAGGTCGTAGACCCAATATCGAGAATTGTAAAGTTCCTCAACTGCTTTTAGATCTGATGAATAAGTGCTTAGACGCAGAACCTCAAAACCGACCAACTGCTGAAGAATTAGCTATTAAGCTGAAACAATTTTTTAAAGATTTGGAAAATAACGAAACCGAATTGTACAAACAAATTAAAGAAATTAAAGACACTTGCGAATTTACTAATCAAGTCGTATTGGCTCGACTCAACTATCAGACACATAAACAAGCTATTTATACAAGTCGGCTTTTGAGTTATCAAAAACTCCCTAAACCAATAAATGCTAAACCAGGTAATAATATTATCTTATCAAATATACCAGTTTTTAAAAGTATTATTTTTTTTTAGTGCTTATTAATTTTTGGATTTGTTTAGTAAGCAAACGTGTTGAACGCCCAAATTTTGACTGATATCTTTTAATGATAGTTAATATTTTCTAGTATTGAAATAATATTTATTTAAGCATTCAAAAATAAGTCATTAAATTGAATACGTTATTTATTATTACTATAGTATAGGAACATACGTGGCTCACATTCTTCTATAAATTATCATATTTTTTATATTTTATTATATGTTATTTACTACTTGGACAGAACTTATAAATTAAATTTAGTTTTTGAATTTCTCTTTCGATGTATTGTTTTATCCAGTTGAAAAGGTCTCTATGAAATAAATAAATACCCGTAATTAGTTGGTTTGATCCGAAATATTCTTGTGCCATAAAAAAGTCTAAAAAAGTATTAAAGTAATCGCACTTTGCAACTTCAATTTTTTTTTAAACAGTTCTGTGATTGTACGTATCTTAAGGTTGACCTTATTTAGATTAATTTTAGGTTAATGTCGTTAATTACATAATCGAAATTATTTAAATCTCTTATATTCCGGATAATAAAAGAAAATATTGTACATAATACGGAATTAATAAGATAAATAATAGAAAATAAACTAAAATAAGGTAAAATAATAATGAAATAACGCTATTACACTTTTCGTTGTATTAAATAGTAAGTTTAAATTCTTCATGAAGCGTTTTCTATTTTGATCATCGTGTTTTAAAGTTATAATTCTAATTTATATTTTTTTCTATATATTTTGAAGTTTTCCATATTCCCAAAAGATGCTTTGCTTCAGGATTGTTATCATTCTTTGTCAACTTCACAATTCCATACGATTTTCTACCCCTTTATTTGTATCATCAAGTAATGAAATTGCATACTGATATGGCGCTTCAGAAATTGTATCTTGATATTCTTCAACATTGTCTGCAACTTCTTTAAAAAGTTTATATGAAAGCTCTTTGTCTCTTTTTAAATACCCATTAAATAAATAATATCCTTGCTAAGCTTGGCCAAGATCCACTCGTAGTCTTCTTCATTTGCTCCCAAGTCTAATTCTTTATTTCAAAAGCAATGGTTGAGTTTGTATTGATTAACATGAAATTTATAAAATCACGAATTTTCAAGAGAGAAATAATCCAAAATTTTTCTTTTATTTATTCGAGTTATCAAAAGAATTTATTTAGTCATTGTAAATATTGAATCTGATTATGTCTAAATTGTAATAATATTTAAAACCGTGTCTATATTCAAATTCAATACTTAAAATGTATAAGGCATAACTTGAATTCAATATCTAATTCAAAATCTTTAACGTTCATTATTTTTTTTAGATAAATACAAATTTGTTCTTCATTTTTATGTACTAAATCTGTTGATTTTTTTAACTGTGTCATATTGGGTCTTCTATTTAATATTTTCTTAGTTTCTTTGACCTTTTTGTAATAAAAAAGTTTACGAATTTCGTTATATATTTAATAATATTAAATTTTTATAGTAAAAACTTTTTATAAATATGATGGACATTCAAATAGTGGTTTTCTTTTACTATTTCAATAAATTACTGTAGCAGGGTTTCATCTTTTGATAAGGAGAACTTGGATTATGTAAAATGAGCAACCTCTAGAAAGTTCACAAAAGAAAATTGTATAATACAGAAATATTACTAAACATACTTATCGGTGAATGGATTTAACAGTTAAGCTCATAGGAAGACTTTCGTATGATTGGCAGTTTAAATCAATTTAATTTTACATTATTTATACAGTTTAAAGTACT